TATATATATATATATATATATATATATATATATATATATATATATATATATATATATATATATATATATATATATATATATATATATATATATATATATATATATATATATATATATATATATATATATATATATCGGCTAATATTTGTAGAATTTAGCTTCGATTCGAATCAAACTTTAGAAAACTATTAAATTGGATATCTAACATCCTAAAAATGTTGTACGTATTATATACTATATTAAGTCATATACTAAAGTAAGCGTGTCGAATACTATAGCGAGTCTATTGCATACCAATATTGTGACAGATATACAAGAGAAGCACTTTATGAACTGTACTATTATATATCACTTTTGTGGGAATAGATTCTCACTGCTAAAACCGAGCACACTTTTAGTCACCAAATCGAGTAAGTAAGGGGCAGCTTACTGTTCACAACCGAACTACAACTCTGTAAAGTACGTGTCCAAACTTTATACTGCGTTATTTTTCCATCATACGAAAAGCTTGTGTTCTCTGCAGTGGTGGTACGGGTGATGTAATTATGCGAGGCGAATGTGTATGTATGCTTGTTCAATAAGAAGCTTAAAGACAACAATACGTGCAGTCGTATAAAGTCTGAATAGGCCTAAAGGCCAAAAACAATGTTTGTCTGACAGTATGGCGCCCGAGATGGTTACCGATTATAGAACACTGACTCATCTTATGGTAGTAGGAGACACTGAGATACTTCAGACACCATGGATACGTAATTTTACTTACGGTGAACAAATGTCAAACGAAACCGAAGCATTGCATTTCCCACTTTGGAATTTAAAAAAAATTATAAAAGTATCTTTCACCGGCTGCCAGACTCCCGTGTGAATTGTGTACATATTCATGATACCTCGTGATGTAAATTCTGCTGCGAAGTCAAAACCAGCGAGCTCACCAGCACACACCAGAGAAAGGACAAGTGATAAGGATCACACAATACTCAATATTCTCTGAAAGTATGCGCGCCCCTTCTATCCACCCGGATGCGGTCAATCTGGACTACTTCACCGCTTACAACGACGTTAGCGTGCACGATCTCATGCTAAAAGATGGGATACGTACACGTGCGTATCTGAACGCATTAGAAAACTCGGAGCTGGAAGGAAAAATAGTTCTCGATGTGGGATGCGGTACTGGTATTTTATCAATGTTTGCTGCACGTGCAGGCGCAAGGAAAGTGTATGCGGTAGAGGCGAGCGGATTTGTAGGCATGACTCAGAAGTTGATAGATGGTATGTGTGTGGACCTCGTTCATTAAGATTATATTGACAATTACCTTCAGGTTGCTGTAGGTCAGTGTACTAGATAGTATAGTCATATGCAGGTACTATAGTATCTAGATATCCGTGTGTCTCTGGAGGAATATGCTTCAAGAGGTTTATGCAACACTGCTGTTTCTGTAATTTGATGGTATATGTACTTAACTGAGTACGTCTACATAGCTCATATATACATCCAAATGCAGTCGATATTGTACCTTTATTTTGGAAATTCGGAGACAGACAGTATGCGCATCAATATTCAGTACCTGTAATATTAAGTATACGCAGTTATTTGAGATTGTACTTTTGCGACCCAAGTGGTATTAAGTATACATATTTTTACGGTTTTCTGATGAATTTGTCAAGTAAAAGACATGTACTTTCGTATGCCGGTGCGAATTCTGCAGACAGGTGCTCTTCTCTAATAATATCATAAGGCTTATTGTAGGCTACTTTTCCCGCAGCAATTGTGGCGTCCGTGTACATCTACGTTGCTGGATTTACAATTATGTTGATCGTATGCACACGTGCATATGCTTTTTTTAAATTACGATATTGTGTTTGCAAATTAAATTCTACTCAAGGAGTTGATAGAACATCCGCATACAGCCACTGTAGAATACAAGTATGTACGCATATGTTTTTGATATGTAGATACACACATTCTGCCAGAGATATCTGGTATCCTAAATATATATATATAGCCCATTTAGATTTCCCAAGCCACAAGTTGTCTAAAATGTCAGTATTATTAATATGTTTATAGGGTTGAAAAACATGAAAGTATACCAAGTTCTCTCCTTGATAGGGAGAAAGTGGTTGTCGATTACGACATCAGTCGTATACGTGATCGTCTATCCGTTTCTTAAAACTGTAGTACTTAGCTCGACATCCGCACACCTAAGCGTGCGTTCCCATGCGCTACTTCAAAGGCATGCGCTAGTGTGCACACAACTTGTTTGTTATTGTCGGTAAAAAAAATGGTTCCATCTTTATGTATGATACATATACTGCATAATAGTGGTTCACGCCGTATATAGTCGTTATTAAACTAGTATAGTCTTACTCTCGGCGCTATTTTAAAACTCATTTGGGTACCGCGCACAGATAACAACTTTACAAATAAGATTGAGCTCATCAATCAGATGGTGGAAGAAATAGACCTGCCTGAAAAGGTGGATGTGATTGTAAGTGAGTGGATGGGGTTCTTCCTGCTGCACGAGAGCATGTTGGAATCGGTCCTAAATGCGAGAGATAGGTAAGTGTGAACATGAGCCCCCAGTCTACTGTATTGAAGTGTACGCGTGCTTGTGCATATAATGCGTATCATCAATTTTAGCCCATGTTCTGACCTTATCAGATTTCGTTACACCATCGATCAACTTCTTCACCTTGAAAAGTTTGTATATTTGGTACCCGCTGTGTATGTATTGCTTCGCCCCTAAATTGCTGTTCCAATGTGACCTATCTCAGTCGCGAAATTGTAGTAAATATAGCGACTAACCTCATTTTTATATCAAATATTATCTCCATGACCTTCGTAGGTGGCTAAAGGACGATGGTGTGATGCTCCCCACTACAGCAAAGATATACTCAGCTCTGTGTGACATGACACCCACACTTACAAAGGAATACGGAATATATCAGGATTGTTATGGGTTCGATTTCACAGCTATGGTGCCGTCATTACAAGCAACTGTACCAAATCCGGCTATATCTGATGTACTCGAAAGGTATGCCAGGTGTCTCCTAGACGATTACACATGCCGATGTGGTATTTGTTATGTTTCGCATCCATGTTCAACAGTCATTTTTTAGTGACTAGATTTCGTTAGCCGCACCCCCAGTCAAAGATACACCACAATGCTCACAGTACGGTTCTGAGTATACGGAAGCACGACTACAAGTATGTACAACAAGCTTCGCAGTTGTATTTAAGTTATTTGCTATCACCAGCACAGCTGCACTCATAGAACATACACCGCTCCGTCGTACGAACTTGACGCGTAGTCAACTCTTAACACAGGCCCAGGTTGTGAAAGAGTTTGATATGAGGACAATGACCAGTGCAGATCTTGAATCGTTCAAGTCAAGTGCTATATACGTACCAAAAGCCGATGGCGTGATGGTAAGTTTTCTTTAAGATATGAGTCAGTTCAGGTTTTCCTTGGCTTTGTCTGAGTATCGAGTTTTGGTATGGATATCCTCTATCGTACCCTCAACCAATCGTAATCGCTACATATTACCTGGGTGTTTGTTTACTGTCTATTTGACAAGTACTCGATTGTGCGAACTGGTGTGAGGTGTGCTTATGCTATGTATTAGCGCGTGATTTGGAAGAAAAAATTGGATGTGCGATGATCGCTTGTAGTGTTTATTGAACCCTTTATGAATTTGACATGTTTACATCAATGGCGGTGTTGATTGTAACAAAGACCGAGTGTCGCTACCATACCGGTCAAATGGCAAGGCTCGCAATGTTTGCTCGTATCTGCTGCGTTATAAATCTTCGTATGAATTGAGCTCGTCCTTGTCTCGGGCGTATCTCGCGGGGCTTTCGCACATCTCTGAAACGAATTCTGCCAACTGTTCGGTTATTAAGCTGCCGAACGAGAAACTACCTGATAAGTAATTACAAGTTGTCTATTTTAATCAGTGTGCTAAATGCTCGCGACATTAGACTAAGAAGCAACGATAGCACCACCCGCTAGAATTTTCATCTTTCGCGCTCTATCACTAGACACGTGCAACGCAAGCTCAATATGGCACATAGGACGGTATTGACTGGTTTTGGTCGACGTTTTGTCAATGAACACAGATTAGCTTGTGGAAAAAGAGTAGACTACAACCTACACTACACGTTTATGTCACAGCACGGGGTATGCCTATGGTTCACATGCGATTTTGCGGGGCCCCCCGGAAATGAAGACGATATTACTGTCCTGTCCACGGCGCCTGGACAAACGTTAGCCAAATCGACCCACTGGTAGGTCATGAGCACAATCTCTCCACTCAGCTCTTCACGGACACGTATTTTTTCGTGGCATGTCGCTTGTTGGTCTATTTTCTGACCACTAGTGTTCTTTAATCACATAGCACACTTGGAATTGAAAACATTTTGGACTAGTAATGTGGGGAGTCTCTGTCGTGTCGATTGGAGTTGTTGAAGGTTTAGCATATTCTTAAATTTTTAATACAACATGTTCTACGACTTGCACTGAAGCATAGGTTTTTATATCTTCCGCTATCGATATCTGTGTTCATCTCTCTGTTTAATCCTTACTTTAAGGCAATCAATTGGGTTTAAACCAGACTTGCCAAGAAATCAATATTATGTTGTACAGTGCCGGTTTGTCATTCGCGGAGTCAAATGGTACATCTGCGCTCAAAATAGCATCGAATCTGCGATGTGAATGGTTTGGGTTAAAATTTTGAGTATCTGATTCAGAATTTGCACTTGTGCCGAATCCGCTTTCGTTATATCTATTGCACATATATGTCACTGATATATATGTAGCGTTGTGTGCAAATGGGTACTCTTAATTCCGTACATCAACCATAACAATAGTACATGAAACACTACGATGCTCTACCATACACCACTATGCTTTCATAACAAGAAACAAGGCCATGCAAAGTATCATCTGTCAACATCAATGCTTGTGCTTTTTTATTTCCACACAGGAAACAAACGGTAGTCATGTTGGGAGGCTCCTTCGCTGTCGAGAAAGATGTATGTGTGGATATGCAGCACTTCGCAGCTACTTGTTTACGTACAGTATACTACTGTTTGCCTTCGTTTGGCTTGTATGAAAGAGTTTATTTGTGGGCATTGGATTACAATATTTTGTTACAACTGATAGAGATGCTCTTACAGACATGAGCGTTTTTTTTTGTATCTTTTTTTTGCCGCATATATGTAGTTGTCTGATGTGAAATACATCTGCTTTCACAGAAGAACATTGTACCTTAGACAGCATAAATAGCTTCCCTAGTGGTTTAATGGTTTAGTACTCTTGAGCAAACGCGATTTTTATGTAGTCACACATGTGCGGGGTCTTCCATGATTTGTGGGCCATTACAACATTGTATATTCGCGTTGTATCTTGTTGAACGGTGTTTCGGTGCGTGTTGATATCGGTAGAATTATGTTTCGAAAGCAAGGCTGATCATATATGACCACGGTATCTGATCATGTGTCAATCGCATCCGCATATCACTATCATATGTAGTATTGGCATTACTTAGTATCTCGCAATCATGCAGAATAGCACATACTTGGTTTTACCTTCTGATAACCCGCGATAGTCAGCGGTTTCAATCAATGCTTCACTAGGCAGTAATGAACTAAAGCATCGTATCATACTCCCCTATTACAGGATCAGATACCTGTAACGCTCAATTTATCAAAGTCTAAAACCCAAACAAGGTTTTACACGATTACTGTCGAATTCGGCGAATAAATGCTTCAAGTGATGCCTTTTCCCATGTCCGTGTATACTCGTTCATCGCTTCGATATTGGCTATTACACCCAATTCTTACTAGTCAAAGTTCGTGTGTTGATTGACCATGTCCTCGATGTCATGGCGCCCTTCTTTGTCATGGCAGTGAGCATTTCCACATTAAGCGTACAAGGGATGCACCGATAGGGTTCCAAATGATATTGTACATGAAGCATCGCGTAATCCAGTTTCAAAATTGAATCTGATGACTACTGTATACTACTTTCTCAATTCACTGGCGATAGCAATTGCTGATATGTGCTCTCCTTACCATAGGTTATCACTGAGAATTGTTGAAAATATTTCAACGGATAGAATCCCTCTACCTCTGAAATCGTTGCAATTCAGGTTAAACAAAAATATATACTCAATATACTTCGAACGAATGCATTTGAGTTCTCTGCATGGCAGATATTTCTGACTAAGGCAGTTAACATTAAGCAAAAATCTAGTCAAACGCTAATTTGTACAGATCGCATGCTTCTTGCTTGTACCATCTATATATCTCCATCTTCAGCAGAGTGTTTTCCCAATTTGTTATCGGACAAAGATCATACCCATCAAGCAGTGTACGTACGCAAATATGTATGTGATACATGAACACAGACATATATACATACACGCAGAGATATTTATGATTGCATATACATGTACCCACTATACAAACAATTGCCCCCTATACTATATATATTAAATTGAAAGATTACATATATATTAGAGTGAAGTGATATATGTTAAGTAGGTGGGTTGTCCCAAAGGTAGTGTACATCTACAATAAAAATTGTGGATTCAATTAGGTAGAATTGAGAGAATAGACTTTCAAAGGAATGTCATATTAACCTTATGTAGTATGGGTACCCCAAAAGTATTTTAAATTAATGAAGGGAGATTGGTTAAGGCAGTGTATCCCGGGTCATAGTAAATTGAATTAAATTTGGACTCATTGGATGACCAATCCTTTGCTTAATGAAACATCGCTATTCAACTTATAGTCCATCGGTGCCCTGTTTAGTTTATCAAGGTCTATTAACTATTTTAATACATTCAGTTGGATTAAAATAGTTGGAGTACATGCAAACATATTATATATATATATATATTACATGTATATATATTTAAATATAAATATATATATACGTGTGTGTGTATGTGTGTGTGGAAGGGGGAGTGTATGTATAGGTGTATCGCTGTAAACGTATAATATATATATATATAGATAGATATATATATATTATTATATATTATTATATATATATATCTATAACTACGTATATGTATATATATATATATATATATATCGATAATATATATTATTATATATGTATGC